TGACCAAATTGGCTCAATCACCCGGACCTTGGGTCTATACCAAGAAGTTTAGAGGTATGCTATTATATCGAACTCATAGGCAGGCCTGGACTCGGGCCCGGTCGGGCCGGCGGTTCTGGAATGGGGGGCCCGGAACCGGCCCGGGTAATCCCCGGTTTCGGATCGGGCCTCGGGCCTTGTTAATTTTTTTTTCCCTTTTCCTAGTTGACCCCCAACCCACCCCCCAAACCACCCCAAATGGCCAAAAATACCCAGCCCAACCCGAATAGTAAAAACAAATTGAAAAAAAAAATTAAAAAGGCCCGGAACCGGGCCCGAACCGGCCGGGCCGGTTCAGGATTTGGGGGACGCGAGCCCGGACTGGAACCCACGCGGGTCGGACCTATCCGGACCGGTCACTGACCGGGCCACCGGGCCGGTTCCTGGTCGGGCCACCTGGCCCGAGTCCAGGCCTACTCATAGGTTTTTTATGTGCTTATTACTCCAACTTCAGCTGCAACTCTAGAACCTTATAGTAGTGCAAGTGGTTCAGTGTCTAGCAGTCAAGGAGACAATGAGACATGGTCTGGCTTTATTCCAAGAATAGTGGAGACGCTACTTTGCGTAACAGATTGTACATTCACAATAATGGATCAAGAGAAGGCATTAATATTTTGGGCTAAAACTTAATTTATTATGGATACACTAGCCTCGATTGGGAATTTGGGAGGGATAGGGGCAATTTTTGTTTAGTTCTTGACGGCCGGTTTTGGCCCCGAAATATGATGAACCTAATTATAGTCCGTTTGATTTTGATCTGGTTTAATTCAACTCTAACTCCTCCGTCCCGCTAAGATTGTCTCATTTTACCTTTTTGGTTCGTTCCACTAAGATTGTCTCATACCAAATTTGGTAAAGTTTGTGTGGGTGTCTAAATCATTTTACTATTTTCTTACTTTATCAATTCAATATCAATCACATAAATCAATTTTTATTAGTTTGAGTGCAACTTTCTCTTGTCCCATTGTTAGTGGGACGGAGGAGTACAACACTGCCATGTTCGAATATATTTTTGAGAAACTGGGCAAGAAAGATGATGGTTCTAGCCTTTTAGGTATTATTGCTCGAGTTGTATTCATAAGAGCATTTCCAATGTTATAATGTGTACGGTGCACATGTGGCATGAGACATAGTCACATTAATATTAACAAATAAATTATCTCTCTCCTCATTTGAATGATGTTATACAACTTTGGTAAGTTTTTTTGCACAATGTCAAGACGACCGTCTAAATATTGACATTATGGTTGACATTGCAGGGACAAACTTACTAAAATTGTACAAAATCATTCGAATAAGGAGAGCGATAATTTGTTTGCTAATATTTATGTGGTCATCTTTGATGCCACATGTGCACCGTGCACATTGTAGCATTGGAGATACTCTAATGGTTTACTTAACAGAAATTGCCCAAAATAGGAGTAAAACATTTTGAAATTCCAAAATAGGTCTTTCATTTTTTATTCCCTAAATAGGAGTAATTCTGTCAAGTTTGGAAAAATATGCCATGTTTAAAGCCTAGTAATGTCAAACTTGGCAGAAATTTACTCCTATTCAGGGAATAAAAAACATGATAGTCCTATTTTGAAATTTCAAAACTTTTTTACTGTTATTTAAAGAATTCTCTCTTTACTTAACAAAAAGGTAACTCTCAATCTATGAGCTGATTTATTGTTTCATATTTAAATATGAGCACATTCTTAATGAGTGTGTATACTGTATAATCGACTGTACGATTTGCATCGTACAATCGGTGGCAATTTCGTAATTATAGTTAAAATCATTGTGTATCTTAATTGAGCATTAATACAACTCTAAAGAGCATCAGACTTATTACTTGCATGTAATATGCTGCTTTATATTAGGAGCCTAACAAATTAACAATAAGCGTCGTAATCTCTGCTTTATATTTTCTAATTCTCTTTCGTTTTCTTATTTTTTTCTTTTATAAAAAATTCTTTAATTATATCTATAATGAACTCCTAAGAATTTCAATGTGTAACTCTAATGTAATATGCTGCTTTTAAAATAAGCATTAATAATTTGATAAGACATTATAAAATGAGCATAACACCAGTACCAAATGAGCATACGCAACTTATAAAATGAGCATTGATATGAAAATAATAGGCATTGTTAGTTAAACATCAAGATATTTTCATTGAGAATCAAACCTCCTCTATTGAGTGTTAGAAGCATGTAATTGAGTATCATCAACTCTGGTCTCGTATTTATAATCAAATATCATGTGAATCTAATGTAGTATGATAGTTTTGAACATATGTTACTTACAAAATGAACATCAAAAAATTCAAAGGCTCGTATAATTTTCTAATGCGTTCAATATCCATTTGTGCATGCCCATTTCTTGAATTAAAAAATAAACTCTTTTTTGTAATATGTAAATCTAGTAGATCCATTATTAACAATATTATATACGAAAAATTGATAAGAATAATCTCACCTTTCACTGGTCTTCTCATAATAATCCCACCTTTACGTAATCCCAGAATAATCTCACCTCATCTTCTTTCACTGGACCCTTCCATTGAAAATCTTATATAAATAATCTCGCCTTTGTAGGTCATCAATAGGTCAGGGTCCAATGAAAAAAGATGAGGTGCAAAGGTGAGATTATTCTTTGATTACGTAAAGGTGAGATTATTATGAGAAGACTGGTGAAAGGTGAGATTATTCTTGTCAATATTTCCTTTTATATATGACAATCATGTTGATATAAAAAAGTTATATTAAAGATAGTTTAGTCATGCACATTTATTTTACACTATACTCATTTTAGTGTAACACAAAACTCATGTTAGTAATTAACACACAGTATTTAACAAACTAATAATAAATAGGGAAAATGGAAAATAATAATCCAACCTTTTAGCGGTCTTCTTTCAATAATCCCACCTTTTGATTATTCATGAATAATCCAACCTTTACACCTCATCTTCATTCACTGGTCCCTGACCGGTTGATGACCTACTATTCCAAGCTATTTTCTTATCTTTGCAAATCATTATACCATAAAGTTCATCTTTCACAAAGATAATATTTTGGAAAGATAAGAAAATAACTTGGAATAGTAGGTCATTAACCGACCAGGGACCAATGAATGAAGATGAGGTGCAAAGGTTGGATTATTCATGAATAATCAAAAGGTGGGATTATTGAAAGAAGACCGCTAAAAGGTTGGATTATTAGTTTCCATTTTCCCTAATAAATATTCGTCTTAAAATTAAAAATAGAAAAAAACATCAATACTTAAAATATTTTATAATGCACAAATTAAAAAAACTTAAGTTGGAAGGTTGATTGAAAAAAAACTCATATATTAAATAATATTTTATATAATACATTTTCATCATAATTGAAAAAAACAAAGCACAAGATTGATAAAGAAAAGAAACAAAGAAAGAAGAAGAACAAGTAAAAGCAACGAAAGAAAGAAATGAAAACAAGAAAAAAAAACATAAAAAGTAAAACTAACGAGCAGGAGCCAGGAAGGAGCATGATGCAGAAAAAAGAAAAGAAACCGACTAAACAAACTTAACTATTTCCCCAATGGATTGAAAGTAATTACAAAAATGTCAGTTGTACCATATCCAAGGTACAACCGATTGTACCATATAATTTACCACGAAAAGTGTGATGCTCCAATGAAAAGATTGGGATGAGCAGTCAAAAGGTATTCCTATGTATAGCCCGCTGAGAAAGCAGAACAGTCCAAAGAAGGAAAATAGTCCACCGGAAGGAAGGAGAATAGTATGTAAGAGTGAAATAAAAAGGGCAAAAATTGTTTAACACTTCACTACGCTCCAATTTGGGGTGTAAATAAAATTTTAGTATAGGTGTTAGGAGGGTTATGGTCAACACCCTCAAACACTTATTAACACCTCTATTTTTTTTAATTTTTCTCTCAAACAAGTTGATGGAGTATATGGCCCAGGGATCCCCGGCCCACATACTCATACTTCTTCTGAACAGGCCCAAATAAGCACATAAAGCCTAGATACAACGGCCCAAGCCTAAAGGAACCCATGATACACCTAGGGGAGCCTTCGGCACCATGGTTGAAGGCACAAAATTCCAGGAGACAACTGATTTTGGACCCACGAAACTGCTGGGAAATTCTGGCTAAAATATTGGCCTTCGGTCTAAGGATGTCTTCGGCGCCTATGCCGAAGGGTCTCCACTTAACGAAGCTTCCTCCTGAAGACAGGCAACCACCGCATTGAATGCGGTGTCACGTCCAACCACCGCATTTAATGTGGTGCCACATGCGGTGCCAGCGCCGGCGCCGGCGCGGCTGGAGTGACCCTCCACCATTGATTACTTGACACGTGTACTCGCATTTAATGCGCCTAGCGTTTATGACCACTATAAATAACATCTCCTTTCCTTCTGTAAAGGAGTTCATTTAATACATTTCGACTCTCTCTTAATCCTGGACTCGGCCCGGGTGGCCCGACCCAGAACCGGCCCGGGACCGGTACTGTGCTGAACCGGCCCAGCCCGGTGGCCCGGCCAGTGACCGGTCCGGGTAGGCCCGACCCGGGGGTTCCCGGTGCGAGCTCGAGTCACCCAAAAGCCAAACCGGCCGGTTTCGGGCTTTTAAACTTTTCGGGTTGGGCTGGGTATTTTGGGCCATTTGGGGTGGTTTGTGGGGTTGGGGGTGAGGGGGGGTTAATTAGGAAAAGGAAAAAAAATTGACTCGGGGCCCGGCCCGAACCAGCCGACCAGGTGGCTACCCGGGCCGGTCCCGGGCCCACCTATTCAGAACCGGCGGCCCACCCGAGCCTAGGCCCGGCCCGGACCCGACCCGGCCCGAGTCCAGGACTACTCTCTCTTATTTATTGCTTCGACTTCTCTCTAGATATCCCTCGTGGTATCCCTTGGATAGGCTGCCCCCAAATACACTATCCATCACAAGTGTTAAACTAAACACACTTTAACACTTTCATTACTAACACCTAATAACACTCAATCCATACAAGTCGTCATACTCCCTTTTATGAAGTGAACAGTAGTACCATAAAATAAGGGTATATGAGCCATTCTTCTACTTTCTTAATATTCGAAACCAAAATATTGGGCCATCGTTTTGGAGAAACCGGAGAAGGGAGTATAAAGTATAAACTAAGTTGCACCTAAAAAATTTCCAAACGATAATTAGAGCATCACAAAATAAAGTAAATTAGTAGTCATCACATGACCGGAAGCTTTAGAAAGAAAAACTATAACTGAACATATTGCACACCATCAGTTACAATGGCTTTCTTTTTACAAAACTACACATGTTTCCCTCTCAAGGCGCCAAAGCAAATGCTCACATAGTTCCACATATAAGGCTCAGTATCTGTAGCCTTCATCATCAAATACATAATTGGTGTTCCTGAATTTAGGGCCTCCTTCAGCCTGTAGAAAATGGATAAAATGACTTACGGAGAGAAAGAAGTGCAACAATAGTGATTAAACCCACATTAGGCAAATATTCAGAAATTGCCAATGCTCAGGCAGTAGGGCACCCTACTGGAATGGAAATGGGTCGGGTCCGGGACGGGTCTAGTGCAGGGGTTCATTACCGAATCCGTGCCCCAGCCTCATTCTTCCCCGCACAACGAGTGACTGTGTACCCCCACCCTCATTGCCATCCCTACACCCTACACTTGAAAAGGGCAGAGAGGTCCTAAATCACGTACATAGAACTCTTGGACAAAAATGCTACAATTCATTATAGTCAGGCGAAAATCTATGTGAAACAGAAGTTATAAAACATTACTATTGTCAGTGCAATTACTGCAGAAGCACCAATAGTGTCTAAGGGTCAATGTTCACAAGCAGACATATTTTTGTCCATCCTTTTGTTTTTATCCATACCTTTGTCATTATTTCCAAAAAATGACTTACTGTAACAGGTCATGTCTTAGCAAATAATAATTAAAGGATTATATAAAAACGAAACAGTTTATTCTAAACTATGTCTACTGTCTAGTAGATATCTGTAAAAAAGAAAACAAAATCAATAGAATGCAACACAATGTCTGGAGCCAGGCGAAATAAAGTTCAACAGATAAAGGTCATATACAATACCCTGTGTATTATATCTTCAAATGCTCCACTTCCATGTTGTTGAATGTATTTCTCAGCTGCAGTTAAAATATCATCACGTTTACTGAAACCATCCTTCTTTCGTGGCACGTACCAGATGTTAATTTCTCCTTTAACAATGTATGGCCTAACATAGTGCTCATACACATATGCAGCACCACTAAAGTACGGTATGACCAACCAGCACGTAGCAATCAGTTTCGCATATGGCCATATTGCAAACCTGTTATGCCGATACTAAATTAGATACTGTAATGTAACATCAAGGCCCCATTTGGAATTGCGTTTTCAGTAGAATAAATATGTCCCAAAGCTGATCAGAAATGGCGAAAGTCAATCTGAGATGCCTTTTGCATTTTGATAATCATGTTAGAGGTTAGTATATTTCGTTTTTCAATATTTTAGATTTGACACAGCAGTTTCAAACTGAATGCCAAACAATTATAGCTCTCAAAAGTACTTTCACACTGCAACTCTCAAAAATGCTTTTCCCATAAGGAGCTTTTTCCAGCTGCACCCTTAATCCCAAACTAGGCGTAACTGTGCATACAAAGCAAGGGAATGGAAGATGGATAACAAATCTACCACAGAGACAAATCAATCTGTGCCTGTTTAACTATATAAACTTGTTTCATGTGATAATACTTGTTGCAACAAACATGCACCAGTCGAAAATGCAGAGTTATGAAACTTAATAGAAGCCACTCAGCGAGTGCAAGCTATCGGACAAATAGCATTTTTCGAGAAAAAAGTATAGATAATGTTGCATACGAAGAGAGAAAAATATTGAAGTTGAACGTAGGTTGTATGACTATTTTGGCTCTCATTAAAATTGCAATTACATCACAAACTGATTAATGAATTCTAAAAAAACATATTAATGAATTCTTAACTTTTTCTTAATGCTCAAAATCATCATTTCTGTATACTATTTAGGCGTCAATCGAAAAAAGTTGGATCACAGTGTCGCTTTTGTAATTAAATGTACAGAATAGATGCTAGAAATTAGCCAAGATTTAACTTTGAGCAAACAAGAAGAGTAAAATTCAAGAATAGATGGTAGAAATTAGTGAATTGTTTCTTTTACGAAACCACCACTAAGACACAAATGACTATCAGCTATAAAATAACAATAATTACAGCGCATCTAAAAGCTGCAATTAGCATTGTCAATTTGTTACACATGTTTTCCTTACTTATATTGCCATCACACTGCTGCTTCACTTACGGCCTGTTTGGATGGAGTGTTATGGGGTGTTAGTAATGGAAGTGTTAAGGAGTGTTTCGTTTAACACTTGTTTGGGAGAAAAATTTAAAGAAATTAGAAGTGTTAGTAAGTGTTTGAGGGTGTTAAACATAACCTTCCTAACACCCATATTTATCACTTTTTTAACACCCCAATTTGGGGTGAAGTGTTGGACAACTCTTACCCTTTTTTATTTTAAAATCCCGGACGTTGTTGCTGCCATTCTTCTTACGCAGCAGAAATATTTTCCTTTCTCCGGGTTTGTCTCTCTTTTCTCCTCAATTCTTTTTCAGCTTTTTCGCTGCTTCCAATCTCACGTATAGAACAATAGGCTGTAAGATTATATTACGTATATCAGTATATGTTAATCAAGTTGATAATTATTACTTCGTGTTATATTTCTGCAATTTTTTTCGTGAATCAAGTTTATTCCTAATAAAGATGTCAAAGGCCTCTCAAGTTCCATGTTTATCTCGTTTGTTATGAAACCACAGCTCTGTTAGAGGTTGTTCATTCATTCCTTGCTACATATATACGTAAATGTATGCATTCAGTCCTTGCTATTAATGATTAGTACGTGAGATTGGAAGGCTGAATTCTAATGGAATTCAGTCCAGGAATTTGTTGATGAGATTGATGCCTATTAATCACTACTTGTTTCTTTGGGTTTCATTTTTTTAAAGTGTTTGGGATTGAATGGCTCAAATGAAAATCTTGTTAGCATAGGATGGATGGATGCTCTGGAATTTTCTTAACGGATGAGTGGATGCGCTAGATTTTCCTAACATAAGATTTTCTTCTTTTAGAATTGGATTTTAAAAGACTGGTTGTTTTAGGATTGGGATTATCTTAACAGAGGAACACGTACAATTTGGTTGATTAAGTGAGGATATTTTTGTCAATTTAAGTAAAAATACTTCCATTATTAACACTTCATTTTGTAACTCTCCCAAACAAGGTAAAATTATGTTTAACACTTACACTTACTTTCCCTTCCGGGCCCCTACCAACACTTACTTACACTTCCATTACTAACACCTCACAACACTCCATCCAAACAGGCCGTTAAGCTCAACATAACCATCTCATCTCACATGTTTACTGAAGGGGCTCTTAATGCATGTACTATGTACCAACAATAACCTACCTCCATATCTATTTGAGTCCCTTCTAGTATATCCCTTGCCACCCTTTACGTCCAAATCTTGTCTAAATGACTTGCGGGGCATAGAAAAAATAAGGAATAACAAAAGGATTCTGAGTTACAGCTAATATATAAAGAATAGTGATTCCAGAAGTGGCATATGTTTTGCATATGGAGTAGATTTTAGAAAGGATGATTTACGGAAGTATCTTCACAAATTCACTCATGATGCACAAATGCACAATGTGTTTCCTATTATAGCATTTCCGACCATAAGAACTTGTCTCCAAAGTTTCCTTATGAAGAATCACCTAAAATAGACACCTCACAATCACTCTTTAATCAACCACCATAGTCTACTCTCTTCTTTATCTTTTTCCAATGCAGAATGCGTGAACATAAAATTAACATAAGATTTAGGAAGAAGAAAATAACAAGGAAAATAAATCCCTGCTTATTATCCTTCTAGCAATAGCTCCTAGGCAATAAATAGATATATTGTTTATCAACCAATTTTTATTTACGGCGGACAATATCCGTAGTCGATAAATATTAGTTGATAAACACATAGCAGAGTGTACTGCTAAGACACAAATTCTCAATTTACGAGAGACACAAAAGTTACCACTCAAGAACTTTGGCAAACGTAAGTTCAAAAAGTGTTATCATAGAGTAGAGAACCCAGTAGGTAAGCCATTGTTGATCGTCCACAGGATTCTTGGTCTCAATAGCCCTGATTGAAGCATATCTGGCAACAAAAGTATTGCAAATATCATTATGGGCGGCTGAAGCAAATGATGGGCTTGGTACAACTAAAATGAAATCTTTCTAATTCATCTCCGTAGACAAACAGCACAAAAACTATGGCAGTGTCAAAGAAACGTAAAACTATTAAGCAAAACATGAACATAAATCCCACTTACAGAGGATACACCAGACTAACCACGGGCCTGCAATATGATCAATGGTGAAAAAGAATGAGAAACCCCGAATGATGAATCGTGATAAAGACAAAAGCAAAAGCTGATTAACCACCCCACACAGTAATTCCGAAGGCTAAGAGCCCCAGTTCAACTGGAAATGAAATTAAAATTAAAATCTAAACATGGAATAAAAATGGAAAGCCGCAGAAGAACAGATAGATAGGTGGATTAGAGAGACCCGGCGAGAACATCGAAGTTCTGCAGGAGCACTTTGATTAGGCTACCGATCCCTCTAGATCCCATTTCTAATAATCTCTGAAGAGAGAGCAAGTAGTGCTGTTGTGATTTTGCTGCTGAAGTGGGGAAAAGATTGCTGAGAAGAAGAATGACGGTGGCTCTGGATCTTAATCTGATGAGGTTTCTTGCCGTTCACTCAGATGAAAGCAAAGTGTATGACAACAAAAAGAGCGATGGCAAATTCGGGTCTGTGTTGTATGTACCGTCGTTTTGAATATCATTTGGGCACTCCCATAGTTCCCATGCACTATAGCTCAGGTTAATTTTGACCAGGCAAGAAAACACAAAGACCAAAAGGAAGACTTCCGTACTGTATTAGCCTCGTTTTGCGTCTTTTCAACTTACCACCTCAAATATATAGATCATGTGTAATTAGAGCATCTTCAATGTTACAATGTGCATGGTGCACATGTGGCATGAGAGATATAGACACAAAATATTGATTTTATGACATTTCTCTCTCCTTCTTTCCACGGTCTAATGTGTTTTTGGTAAGTTTTTGTCTGCAATGTCAATCACAATGTCTACATCTAGACATTGTGTTTGACATTGTGAAGAAAAACTTATCAAAATGATGTAAGATCATTCAAAGAAGGGGAGAAGTATTCTATTTATTGTTTTTTAATTGGTTATTTCTCATGCCACGTATGCACCGTTAACGTTTTAGCATTGAAGATGCTCTTAGCCCATGTCCAATGCTATAATGTGTACGGTGCACATGTGGCATTAGAGATAGCCACATAAATATTAATAAATGAATTATAAATCTCCTTATTTGAATGCTTTTATATAATTTTGGTATGTTTTCTTAACAATGTCAACCATAATGTCTACATCTAGACGGTCTCCTTGGCATTACAGAGAAAAACTTGCCAAAATTATATAAAACTGTTCAAATAATGAGAGAGATAATTAATTTACTAATTTTTATGTGGCTATTTCTAATGCCACGTGTGCACCGTAGAAATTATAGCATTGGAGCTACTCCTAGAGTGGTTAAAAGTAAGAAATTGTCTATGAATAAATAAATTTTGGAATTTTAAATATGGCTTTTTGCTTGAGTATTATTGAAATAAAGTCGATTTCCAAAAATGTGACGATTTCTATAAAAATGACAAAATTGCGACTAAGAAGATAATATAATTGAAAAACATTATGTCATTGTCAATTTTTTTGTCGCTGCTAGATTTTTATGTCACTGTCATATGTCGTTACTAGATTTTTATTTTTATGTCTCTTTTGATAGTCAATGTCGGTTATTATGCCACTTCTGAATGTCATTGTCGGTTATTATGTCACTTTCGGAAGTCACTGCTGCTGTGTCGCCTGTACAACGTGCCACTGTGTCGTTAGAAAATTGTCCCACGATTTTTTCGGTAAAAATGTGATACAATCTCCATTCATAGTTTCCGCTCAGGAAATAGTTGATACACTGACACCGACACCGACACTACAATAGTCACCCTCCCCAATCCCAACCATGTTCGGCTAATGGTGACAACAAAAAATACCAATACATCCTGCTGCCTACTGCCGTCGTCGTACCAACTCCAGTCGCGCTGCAACATTTCGACCGCCAACAAGGTAACCGCCGCCGTCGATAACTCGTAGCCTACCCTCCTCAGCCCCCAAACCTCCTCCCCAGTCCCTCCTTACCTTCCCCTGGCCCAAATTTAGATGATTGTTCCTAATTTGTGGCTTACTAAGTTCTTTGATCCTAAGAATAGTCCCGAAATTCCTGAATGCATTGAGTCTTTGTTAGAATGTTCCAGACTCTCAAGAAAGGAACTGTTTATTCTTACCATTCACCCTTGACCACCGTCTTCACAAGTCCTTCTGATCAGTAGCTAGTTTATTTGTGTGTGCTGTCACTACTTTGAGGATGTTGTGAATAATTTTGTCAAATATTTTAGCTAGAGTACAAAGATGTAGTTTAGGGAAGAACTATCTTGGTTTAGTCTGTCTGTTCTGTGAATATCCCTTTAACTACATGTGCATGCTAATTGTTTTAATTCCGTGTGGTGATTATCGTAAGTCCCGTTGTTCGATTTGTTTGAGGACAAGCAAAAGCTTAAGTGTGGGGGAATCTGATGAGTCCGTATTTAGACACACATTTGATGCGTGTTGGGATTGGATTTTGATGGTTTTCCTAGCTTTAAGGTGTTGCAAGTCTCAATTTTGGCTCAAGTTGTGTTTATTAGGCGTTGGTTCGAGTTTTGTGTCATTTGGAGTCAAAATCAATAGATTTGAGCCTGGCACTGGCGCATGAAGAATAATCGGAATGATTCGAGATGCATTCGAGAGTGGATTGAGATCTTTGGAGGTCACCGGGAGGTCTAAGATAAAGATTTGATGACAAAAGGAAGCTACTGCCAGCCACGCACGGCCGTGCATGGGGGGACGCACGCCGTGCGTGGCTAATTTTTGCGCGATACATGCTCCGGATGCACTGGGGGACGCACGCCGTGCGTGGGCCCCGTGCGTTCCCCCTGGAATCCTAATTTCACCCGAATTTCTCCGTTTTTCCTATTTAAACAACCTGTAAACCCCGTTTTCAGGGGGGCATAGAGAGAGTGCCTAGCACGAAATTTGGAGGGCTTTTCAGCCTTGTTCATCAATATTTTGGGATCCTTTGTAAGTTCCATCTTTTTAATTAATGACAATTAATTCCTTTTATTCCAATTCTATTGATTCTTCAATTATGAATTGTGAGTAGTTTTTTTAGGGATTTGGGATTGATGAAGGGGTTGATCATGATGTATGTATAGATTCTTGATGGGTTAATTGCATGAATGCCGTTTGAATAATTTAATTGATATCTTTTGTAACCTGGAACCGCGGCTATAATTACAATTGCTTGTAGAATAAGTTAAGAGAGATCTAATTTATTCTAGGACACCTTCATACACACTTAATCGTTCGCTAAGAGATTAGTAGCGATCAAGGGGCCGTAAGCTCGCTCGTCTTGGCAATAATTTAGGATCCTGTCGCATGAGAAATCAGTCGGTCGCCTAAATTGTTGTACTCTACGCCTCGAGAGCGGTAAGAACTTAGTAATGATTAGCTAGGCTCAATTAAATTAATTTCATGTAATTAAGCCTGATCAGCCAGAAATCTGGTTACCCCGGAATCAATCCTTGTTCCTTTCGTCATTAATTAGAAAGAACCCCTTAGTTTAATCATTTTATTCGCATTTTAATTTTCCAGCAACCAATCTCGCACGACGCATTTTTATTTATTTTTTTTAATCGCTGAATTTAATTAATTCTTGATTCCCTTTTGTCCGTCCCCGTGGAGACGATACTCGTACTTACACCACTGTATTACAATCTTTTAAGTGCGAGAAACGGACATCAGTTTTTGGCGCCGTTTCCGGGGACGGTGTCGGTTTTAAGGGTTAATTAATTTTAGCGAGATTTTTTTTTAGTTAGTTTTCTTTTTGTTTTCCGTAGGATTTTTCTGTGTTAACCTTTTAGGTATTTTTCTAAGAGGCATGAGATGGACCCATTTGGCCAAATTCCTGGAAGAATTCCTTACCCTTAAACCTCCATGGAATATTCACCATATACGTCATACCCTCCCTACACTCCTCCTCCTCAATATTACACACTACCTCATCAAAATTACTCTCCTACACCACAAAATTATCAGTTTTCTTATTCATACCCTCCAACCACTCAACCTTGTCTGCCAATGAATAATATTTGTTCCTTCTGTGGAGGATGTCACCATATATCTTTTTGCCTCGTTAAGCCTCCTTATGACCATCCTTATTGGGCAACTGCATATCCCACTTCTTCCTCCCCACAATTTACAAACACAAATGTTTTAGCCATTCCTACATCCTTGCCAAGTAATGAGCCACAGAATCAGTGTAAGAAGACATTTTCAGAAACTTTGTCTGAGTACCTAAAGTATATGAGGGAGAGTTCTTTAGCCATGGAGCAGAGCATTTCAAACATGAAGAAGCATATAAATACCATAAGGAGCCGTCTGGTAGAAGACCAATCGAGGAGACCAATAGGGATGATCATGTGAGTGAGTCAGACTATGACGGTGGGAATATGATGGATGATACCCCCCAGATGCTTTTGAAGACCCACCCATGTTTGAAGACGAAGAAGAAGATAATAGTTTCAAGTTATTTTTCCAAGAATACAGGAAAAAGTTTGAAACAGTACAAGTTGTAACTGATGAAGTCACAAATCACTGTGATCTTCATACAGAAACTGCCCAGCCGTTTGATTTACCATTAGTCTCAACACATGAGGAGGGCAAGGAGAAGATCAGTCATGATGATGGTGCTACTGAGGTAGGTTTGGGTATTGAAGATAAGTTTGGAAAAGATGATTACATGCTCCAAGTGAGTGGGGGCGAGGTGGATGATGTCCATAATGAAGAAGTCCTGCTCCACAAGCAAGAATTCCCCTCTTGTACGCATACACTGATCCACTCTCACGTGATTTCAGATTTGGATGTCTTTGATTCACTCCTTGATGATGATATTTCTTTATATGCGAAGAATGACAACATCATCCGGGAAGATATTGATTAGAACTATGTTAACGAGAGTTGGGGTGCCTTCATGAGGAGTGATACAGAGTCCAGAAGAGAGGTTGTGAATTTTCATTATATTTGTGAGGAAGATGAAGACTTTTCCATGGTGCAGTTCGATTATGATGTTGCTCCTAATCCTTGATTTGAAACATCTCTTGAGCTTCCAGTGACACCTAGAGTAATCAATGTTTTTTCACTCATGTTCTCTGTCCGCCCGAAGAGGATGAGAGTTTCATACTTCACTTCTGTGCTAATGAAGGTTATGAAGACCATGTGTTGCCTATGTGTACTCGAGAATTTAAAGGTATGCGACACCTAATGACATCTGTTGAGAGGAAGCTGGAGACATTGATTATTAGTGCACTAATGCAGTCTTTGCTATTTAAGAGCCTATGGGGTAGTTGCGTCGGGCAAACGACGTTAAAAATAGCGCTTCTTGGGAGGCAACCCAAACTTATTTCTTCACTTTTTGTTTTTTGTTTTTGTTTTTGTTTTTGTGTTTGTGTGTTTTGTTTTTGCAGCTTGGGGTCTTGCTTTGGGGATGATGTGCCGAGGATCACTTGACTCAGTTTAGTTCCGCACCGACCAACGCCTTATGGAAGTTTTCCGCGTCTCTTATAATCGCCTTTTTGTAAATGTTGACTTGAGTTGAGCACGTGTGACCCCTTCCCCTTTCCCCCCTTGTGCATA